TTCTTATTGTCACTTTTATTGTTATCAGAATAATACTAAGAAAAATACTGTGATGCAACCCCGACACCGATGTCGTTACTATGGACACAGACGCACACAAACAGAGCTGTTGCAGCATGACAACGCAATGTTCGTATGAGCAATAGTCACAATGCAGGATGTGCAACGTCAAAAAGCGTAAGCTGTTTATTTATACAAGCATCACCCACATTAAGCCCACTCCACAGGAAGTGAGCCGTCAGGATGCTCCCTTAATAAAACCGGATTCTTTTTTGTGTTTATTGCATTAGTAATATCTCTATAATGGTGACATCAGAGTTGAATTATTCATTTCTTTCTATTATTGATTCCATGCAGGTCAGTTGCTGAAAACATGTTTCTGTGCTACTGCCCAGGCTGCAGAGGAGGAAGGATTCTGTGTTACCAGGTTGTTGTCGTCCTGGAAGGCGTAGTGCAGGGTGGTGATCCACTGGCTGTCTCCGTTCACCAACACGTCCCGCTCCTCTCGAAAGCACGCCGTCTACACAAAGATTCAAAGACGATTTAAAATCTTCTACATTCCTGCAGACATTGGCAGTGTGCGTGTGTGTGTGTCTGTGTGTGTGAATCCTGTGTTGGTGACTTTCTGTAAACCGGAGGAATAAATCATGGCAAAACAATGTTTTTTCCATGCTACAGTAAAACGGTGAGGAAGCTTTGGTAGCTGACCTGATATCACGAATGACCTCAGAGTCGAAAAACCCGGTCTGTACCTTCCATTATTTTTGTTATGCCACTTATTTCTCTGTGTTTCAGAGAAAGAAACAGATGAGGACCAATTGAAGAATTTTTTTTTCTTTTCAAAGAAGGTCTTCATATTTGTATTGTGGTCGACACAAACATGCAGAATGAAGAAATAACCATCAAAAGAAATAGAAAAACACTTAAACTTCATCACCATATGTTCTAAATCTATATCACCTTCCTAAAATAATGGCTTGTTATTTTTTGTCAAAAGATGATTTAGGTAGAAAATTACAAAATCATTTTTGGCAACAAAAAAAAAAAAATCAATTAGGCTATTAAATTAGGAAGGTAGTGATGTGTACATCTAATATCTATAAAGAGGGACTGAAGCTTTTTGGCTCTGAATCATCTCTTAATAATTTTGGTTAAAGTGTAAAAGAACCTACTAATATTTTAACTATAGATATGATAATAAATGAAGAGTTTTAGCCGTTTCCTCCTGCAATATTTATGTTGAACTTCCACAGAGAATTAAACCTAAAGTATGACATACATGCTTTGTTCTGGGTTTTTTTTATTTATGTAGGAATACATTTTTTATTATTATTATTATTCTTGTGCATAATTTTCCACTGAAAAAACTAGATCCATCCTTTTTTTTGTTCAATTTTATATTTATTTTGAATCCAAAAAAAAATGCCCAGAAAAAAAAAAAAGGTGGTTCATAGAAATGTGTAAACTGTCTTTTAAAAGTGATGTAACAGTTGTGGCTCTAAATGAGTTTTATTTGCCTGAGGATAAAAACACCCCATCTCTTCAGGTTGTAGCAGTTGCAGATTTCTGCAGATCTCGTCTGTGGATCTGTCACTTTTTCTACCTCTGGGCGTTTAAGCGTATTTGCACGTACGTCTAAATACTGTGGAGTGTTGTTTTTTTGTTGTTTTTTTTTTGCTTTGTGACATGTGAGCCGCTAGTTCAGAGACCCAGCAGGCCAACAGGAATGTGAGGATGGTGTCAGGAAGGAGATGATGAGAAAAACACGCATGGGCAGATCAGGCTGTGACATGTTCTGCAATCCATCAACAAATGTTTGATTCAAATGAAACTCCACAGAGGATGTGGGTTTTCCCGACAGGAGGCCCTTTCTTTCTTTTTCTTTTTTAAAACCTTCATCATTATTTTCCTTGAAGCATTTCCATGATTACTGCAGCAGACTGCTTCAGATAACCAGAACTAATAAAGTTGGTGCTAACCTCTGCTCGCTTGAGCATTTCCCACTTGTTGAGAATCTTCATAGCGAAGACCTTATCCGTGTTTCTCACTTTTACCACCGCGACCTGCAAAGAGAAGGAGAAATGTATTTTTAGTTGACGTAAGAAAAATATCAAACTGCATAAGCATTTTCTGTATGTATTGCATCTTATCCTGGGAGGAAATGGGAGTTGAAGCTGAACAACAACTGCAACAGTTTAAAGAAACAAACGCTCTCCTCATAAAGGGCATTAGTGTGTGAACTTAGCAAAAAAAAAAAAAAAAAGAGTCCTGCAGAGAATTATTTTAATAAGAGATAAATTCTGAGTTAATCATGTGGGGAAAGAAAGTACAGAAATTTGAGATAAGGATTCAAAATATAAATACATTTAACTTTGGGGTTTAAAGCCAGAAATGTGAAAAGGAAACCCTGGGGAAAACTGCAGACAAGAAAGAAGTTTTAACTTTCTTTAGAAGTAAATGATGGAGTTAGGAGGAAATCAACAAAATGTCACTAGAGTATGCGTTCTAGATCAATTCATAAAAATTACAGAGTGAAACATTAAGCTCAATTTCAGATTATATAATGAGTCGTTTTATTTTAATCTGCTGTCAGTTTAAAATCCTTCCAGATGTGTGACTTTCCTCTCTGCAGGCTCATAACTGGGATTCTCCACTATTTCAGCTTCTGCTCCAGATCTTCCAGCTCCATTTAATCACTTTTAATAGTTGCTTATCAAGTAATCACATGAAAAAAATATTTTAGAAATATCTATTTACAATTTTTGCCACTTCATCAATCTGATTGTTTTGAAGAACTTTATACTTACTAAAATTTAAGCTGATTTGTATGACTGTGATTTGCTGTTTTGTCTTTTGTCTGACCAAAAGACAAAACATTTTGGCATTTAACTGATGTATTGTTTTGTGCTCTGTTTTGTCATTTGTGTTGTCGTTCTTGTACAGCACTTTGGTGCAGTTCTGTCTTAAAGTGCTATATAAATAAATTTGACATTGACATTTGAAAAGTCTATAAGAGGAAGAATAAGTTAAAAAAATCTATTTACATACTTCAGACTTGAGACTGAAAGTGAAGTATATTATAAAAGGCAGTTTTATTTTTTATTTAATGTGAAACTTTTTTTTTATCCGTTTCTGCACTTTAAATTATTACTACTTAAATACCTCAAACTTGAGACCAAAGTAAATATAATATAAAAGTTCATTTTTACTATTGCCTCAAGCTGAAATTGAGGCATTCATCTTTTTTAATACTTCAAACTTGAGACAAAGTAATGTCTGAATCATTGAATCTGAACTTTTTTCCTTCTTTTTGTTTAACAAAAAGGAACAAAACTGTTTTATTTACTTGCATTTTCTCATATTTCTTTTTCTAGCTTAAGTAGCTTCTACAGAATGGTACAATTCTGTATTCAAGGTCTAAATTAATTGTCACAATAATAAATTACTCGATTATTAAAATAATCATTTACACCTGGGAAGACCCAGAATGAGCAGCAGTGAAGGTCGCCCAGGTTACCTCTCTGATTATGTGTGAGTGCGCTGGCTCCCCAGTGCCACAGAACTCTTTAAGAAAAGTTATTTCCTGCTTAAATAACAGCAACAAAAAAAAAAGTTATTGAATTGTTTCTCAGCCTCAGATAAGCAGAAGGACAAGGTTCGCATGGAGGGATGTTTTATCTCCAGACACTGATGTATAGGTTACTGCACGGTTCACCGTCTGTTTGCCTCTGAGCCGCACAGTGATCGATGAAAAAGAAACATTTGCACATTTCTGTACAACTTTCACAGTTTAAAGCCTTCTTTTAAAAGAATGGAAACAGTCCTCTGTCTGGCAGTTTGCTGCAGACTCAGGAATGACAGAGTCTGCAGCAAACCGCCTTCACTCTCTACACAAGCTGTTTGTAGAAGGAAACACTGTGGAAGAGGTCAGGTAATAGGTGCATGATCAACTTGTTGTGCCTCTAGTTGGACCAATCATGCTGCAATGTACGCTAATTGATTCTTATATCAGGAATGTAACAGGAACAAAAAAAACTGTTTTATTCTTATCCACAGCTTCTGTAAAAAATAAAACACCACAAGAACAGCCTTAAAGGAACAGCGTCCAAATGTACTACTTTTTTCATTCATCAGGTTACGATGAATGTTTATGATGATGTTCGATGTGTGCCGTTTTTCTTTAAACCACATTTGAACTTTTATGGACCACACAGTTTTTAGTCTTATAAACCTCATTACTTATAGCTGCTATCTACCCAAATGACGGGTTAAAAGCAATAAATATCTTGGTTGCTGAGCTCAAATGTCTAATTATTCAATAAATTAGCAGAAAAATTTTAAAATGTTGTTGATTTTGTCAGTATATAGTTTTAGATTGAAATGCTATTAATTGTGATTGATGAAGTACAGACCGTGCAATTAACCCTATTAAAAATTTTAATTTGAATCAAGTCCCACCGTTATTAGTAATATTAGAAACCTTTACATACAGTAGTTTTCTGTAAAACATGACAGGAGGCATTAAAACCATGCATCTTGAAATAATCTGAGGAAAGTTTAAATGGATTTTTAAAAAATTAATGCCATCAAATCCTTCTGAACCTTGGATTTTGCCCCTGTATGTACACATACCATGGAAATTGTGTAAAATTGATACTAAATGGAAGTAAACAAGTATATTGAACTTGGAGACTGATTTCCTGACCCAGACTCTGTACATACACATCATTTCATTCCCATCTCGTCCACTGAACCGGTGGTGATTGTCTTGAAAATAACAGAGAACATCCTGAAGCTCCCCAACGTTTCCTTTTATAGCTGCTATTTGTCACCAATGCCTAAAGATCACGCTGCCGTGACGACCCACCTCACCATCCCACATTAACAACTGCCAGCTTTCCCTGACTGCTAATTGCTAAACATAGCCTTGAAGAAGAAAAAAAAAACTTCCTCGGCTCCAGCTTTACAGTTTTGCCAAAAAAGGAGCTGCACAAGCAGCAGCGACAAACCGCTGTGAGCAGACAGCCAAAGCACGAGTTCACACAAACTCAAGTTATTCCCATTGCTTTCAACGGACACCGTTTATGTTTTTTTTTGTCTCCATTCTTTACAAAAACAAGATTTATTTGAGTCTGAATCGCTGACATAAAGAAGGACTTGAAGAGTTTTTTTGAAAATTTGAAACAGAAGTAGGAAGAAGGGAAGCAAACAAAGCGGCGCTATGAAACGGAGGGGTCTGCATCCTATTAAATTAACCAGGGGAATGCTGCTAATGCAATACAATGATAACATTCCTGCAGTGTTTGGATTTCCCCCCAGTGATCTCTCACTAGAGAGGAGGAATGAGGGAGGACAGAAGGAAAGGAGGGAGAGAAGTGATCTTGGCAGTGCCTCTGTTTTTGTTCTTTCCTTGACCCCTCTCTCTTTTTTTCCCCCTTCACCTCTACTGCTCTGATCTTCATCTCTGTTCAAAACAAAAATCAGATTCGATTCTAGGCTGCATTGCGCAAACATTTTTTTTTTCTTTTCTCTCAATATTGATAAAGCGATCTCACAGTCAGTGGGCCGGGACAAACCGCTCCATTCATCGGTGCAGATCCACTACGTCACACACCTGGCACCGTCTCTCTTCCTGCTGCTGATAATCGGAGGATGACATCAAACTGTCCTGAGCGCACACTCCCCTCCTCTGACTTTAAAAAAAGTTTTTTTTCTCACAGTTTGCCCTCATCTATCCCTCCCTGCATTAATTCTTCTTAAAATAAAATACACAAAAAAAAAAAAAAATAGACGACATCCAAAGACATTTTTCACTGATGAATAAAAACGCGGTTCCAAACTATGTGTGGTTTTTGTTGCCTAATGTGACACATGTCAAACTACTGCTGGACAGCAACAAATGAGTTTTACATAACATATGGAAATATCGGTTTCTATTTGCTTTAGTAAAATGGAGAAACTTGAGCCACTCTTACATTGTTTCCTATAGTCCCATGTATGCTGGCAGCGTGTTTAGCAGGTGTAATTATTAGGATATGGCAACTCTTTAGTTGTAGCATCAGAAAAGTACATGTGCTGCATTACTTTAGTTTTTCCCTCCATATCTAAGGAACGACTGTAGCTCCACCAGTCTCCCCCGAGTGGTCGGAAAAAATGTTCCCAAATTAATCAGAGAGAAGGTCTAAGCCAAGCTAATTTTACTGAACCAGATTTATTTTCCAATAAGTTGCAGTTACAATTCATCCACAAAGTAGAAATAATTAGCAGATGTGAGCAGGCTTCTGCTAATCTGCTAATAGCAGAGCAAATTTATCTATGAGCGCTTTAGCATTTTTGCTAGCTTTGAAAACAGTTAGCGCACTTAGTTCGCCTAAATTCATTTTTTGGGATGAATAATAAGGCGCCAACTTAGCTAGCTTTCAGTTCAATAAAGTTCAACATCTGTGTTAAAGCATTACATATCACCTGTTCTTCAAATAGTTAGACATTTATAGTCATTATCTCTGAAGTGGATGAAAACGTTTTACGCAGCAATTTCCTTTCCTTTCCTTTCCTCATGTTCTCCACCTGTGATGCGAGATATCTAGAATACATCAGTGAACAGTTTCAAACCTACTAATGTCCTGTGTGCTTTCTGTCTGAATCCCTACAGTGGTCAATTAGCCAACATCAGCCCCAGAGTTTGCAATACTCAACAATTATAAACCTAAAAAAATGAGTGAAAGGTTTATCACATCACTATGAAGTGTAACAAATATGACCCTGTTGAGGTCAATAAAACATGTTGTGTCAATGACACATGACGGGTATCAACATGGTTGAATAAATGCTTTAGCATTAGCTTCCACTCAATACCATGCACATTAGCATTAGCGGAACTGATGTTTATGATTATTGCTTTAAGGTTAGTGTAACCAACCATTTAGCTAGAGCTGTTCATTAAAACTCTAGAAGTGAGTCAGACTTGGCAAAAGACATGTCGGAGTTGGAAGAAAAAATAAAATGGGAAAAAAAAAAAAAACAACTTGAACATTAATCACATCATCTCTAATCAGTGCATCTCTACTGAAAACACCTGCGAAACAGTCTCCTCGCTCTCACAGACACAAACTAGAACTGGTTCCAAACAACTCTAGTAAAAGACCTGACACCTTGAAAATGTCCTGTTTTAGCAGCTAAGGACTCCAATACTTGTCCTTTCAGCATTCCTCTTCTTTGACGACATTACCTGAAACTCAATGACAAATACTTTTTTTTTTTTTCAAACTCCCTCACCTCCCCAGAGGCATGGACATATAAAATGGATTTTAAAATCCCTTAAATCACACTTCCTGCTTCCTAAGGTTGTCTAATTTAGAGTAAATTCAAAGATTAGGAGCAGAAAAAGGATTCTGGGAGCTCCGTTGGGGAAGCATGTAGAGTCATGCTCAGGTGGCAGACTAACGCTACACACTGCTGATGGAATGCAGCAGCAAGGAAATCACTGTCAAATGCAGAAACACCCCAGTCTTCTCCCATTTGAGCAAGTAGCAATAAAGGCTTAGGAGAATCTCTTCTAGACACCTGCTGACCTGGGAAATCATCAATGCCTCAAGTTAAAACCGAGGAAATTCCAAACATTTGCAGACTTTTCAAATGAAAAACAAACAAGTTTATCTCATTCAAGTCACGTCACGTCACGTCACGTCACGTCACGGTGGTGATCACCAGGTCTGAGATGAAGCATGAAGATTGTTTCGATTCCCCTAAATGTCTTTAAAATGGATTAATCAAGCACATAACATTTCCACTTTAGTATTGAGCGTTGGTCTGTTTTCAAAATCGGGGCGAAAAAAAAAATAACAAAATGGTCCGTTACCTCGCCGAACGCTCCTCTTCCAATAACCTTCAGGATCTCAAAGTCTTCCTTGTGCAGACGCATCTGCTTCACTTTGGAAGTGAAAGGTTTGGCTGGAGACACAAAGAAAGAAGAGAATCAAATTAGTTGATTGTTTTCATTAGAATGTAAAGCAGAAGACCGTTCTTTATCTGGTGAGACGTACAGGAATTAGAAGAAAGCTGCAGGAACAATATAACAAAATCAGAAAAATATTTAATGCGTAGTTATAATTTGTTCCCGTTGCATGGAGACAGCAAAATTTCCCATTATTTTAGTGGTAGCTGAGAGAATAATTGATTGCGTAAACAATCATTTAGTTGAAGGCTTAGTCTATAGAAGGAAGACCTGTAAAAACCTTAAATCTCTGAGATAAGCCCCAGAATATCACAACAAACTTAGCAGTTTCTCACCTAATCGCGAAATTATTTATTACAGCACAGGAAGGTTCAATTAAATAATCAATGAGTAAACCTCCTTTAGAAAAATCAGCTCAAAACACTTTTATTTACTATTCATCAACAGAGGTGATGATGTGTTAACAAGCGATCTGTTGGTGTAAATTATTACTATCAGTAAAGTCTGCAGTCCCCTGCATTGTGTGTGAATAAAACACGGGCAGCTTTGTAGCATTTAATCATTTCCACACTAGGCCCAAAATAACCGGCTCATGGAACAATATAAAGGACAAAACTCCCATATCTCAGGCTCCACGTCCTTCTAAATGGATTTTATCACAGAGTTGGTGACCACCTGGTTCTCTCTGCAGTAAATGACACCGGACACAGAGAGGCTGGATGATAACGTTTGCTATTGTTGTGCCCTCAGTTATGGTTCCTGATGGAAAAAAAGGGATTAGGGAGGGATCTGCGAGAGCTGCCAACGTTCTCTCGCAAATGTTCGACAGATTTGATCTATGTTGACAGAGTCAGCATTTCCCTCATTTGTGGAGAACTATTCAGGCCACTTCCTGGTTTACATGCTCCCAGCATGCCAAGGACAACCTGGATTGGCTGCAAGTTCGCAAGGTCAGCATCCTTGGTGAACTGATATCACGTTTTTTTTTAAGTCAATAATAACCCAACTACAAGATGTAGTGCTCGTTAGGTTTGCCAAACGTCTTGGGGTTAGTAAACAATGGCATCTCCATGGAAACATCCTCTTGGTGTTTCCAACTACTGTGTCGCAGTAAGAGGAGTTTCCCCAGTCAAGCTAACGCTCTGGCCCGTCTGTGATCCCACCGTGGCAAAACACTGTCTGGCTGCCTCAACTTCACACAACCTCCAGTGCTGAACAAGAGGATGTTCTCCCACTGTGAAACAGGGAAATGCCTGCTGAAATAAAACAAACAGGTCACTCATTGCTCAACAATCTCTCTCTCCCAATTCTTCCCTCAAAGCTGCAGCCGAGTCCGATGACAGCCGGGGGTCAGAGGGCAGAGGGAGAGTTGCTTCTAGCAGAGCAAAGAAATGCCAGCAACAATGCTGCCTTAGCAGGTAAGAAACACCTGACCAACGTTGGAACACTGTGTGGCAAGATTCTAAAGAACAACCATGGGAGCACAAAAAGGTACTTGTAGAGTCCCTACGTATCTTTCTTGTCAAATATCTGTACTTTTCCAGTATTTCCAAACTTTCCTGACCCTTTTAACCTCATTTTTAGACGATTCCAACCTGAACCCACACAAAACACGAAGGAAAGAAGGAAGACTGGATGGATCGAAGGAGGGACAGATGGACAGATAGACAAAAGCATAAATGGGTGGATGGATGAACAGATTAAAGCATTAACCCTCCAGCGGTCTACAGAGATTGGATCATTTGGGACCCACAAGTTTTTTTATTCTGTGTACAGTCCAGTAGGGTCACACTGTCCCCATGTGCGCTTTTACAAGGGTTTTTTGTGTGTGTGTAGTTTCAGGAACTGACGGTCTGATGGGACTGCCATGCTAAGGAAGAAAAGAATGAAGGACAGGATAGAGGGAGTATAGATGCATTTATGGATGGGTCGATGGACTGACAGATATCGTCATCTATAATGTAAGGAACATAAAATCCCAGAATACCACCAATACCACCAGTGGTTTAACAGTCCAATCAAATACTCTGATTGGACAAGTTTGCAATTTGATATCTTTCACGGAAACTGATTCTTCTGTAAACTACTATAATAACAGCAGCTTGGTCTGCAACACACACTGGCACTGATTAAACTGTTGACTTCAAGGATGTATAAACTATGTTACCAAGTATGTTTTTACCAGATCTCGTCACCATAAATTACGACAATAAATAGTTGGACATTTTCAAGTGAGACCCCAGGCCCCATCCTTTTACTAGTTTGGCTCTACGATCCTCCCCAACTCTTGGCAAGAGAGTCTTGAATGCTCTCTGGGATACGGAACACTTTCCATCTGTCTTTTTCTTGGCGATCACTAACTTGTCATTTCTATTTAGAGGGCTGCCTCTGTCAAACAAACTGGGTAAGCCCCCTCTGTACTCGCACAAAGACCCACTGGTACCATTCAGCCCAACATCAAGATCACACAATACCAGACACTGTTGGTATATTGAATTCTACAGCCATCATGGCAGAAACATATTCAGTTTATCTAAATTTAATCTAAAGTGCAAAATCAGTAAATTATTATGTCTTGATAAAGTATTCACATCGTTTGAAAGTTTACAAATTTTGTTACGATAAAACCAAAATGTGTTTTGGTTCTTGCATTATTAAGCCACTATTCTATAGCTTGTAAATGGTATTGAAATAACATCATCATTTATTGCAATAATTTCTGGGACAATTCATCATCGAGCAAAATTTGTGTCTCTCCAGCTCCTCCAGAGTTACTATGGTTCTCTGAGCCGCTTCTCTAAATGTTCTCCAAACACATTCTTTAGATGACTTCCAAAGGAAATTGGGTTTTATTTTGTTTAGGGGGAAATCAGAGAAAACTTTGTGTCCTGTTATTTCCCCTTTACAGCTATGTACTACTTTGTGTTGATCCGACACATAAAATCCCAATAAAAACTCCCATTAAAGTTTGTGGTCGTAACATGACAAAATGTGGAAAAGTTCATGGCGCATAAATGTTTTTTCAAGGCGGTGTAATTGTCAATTACACAAGCTGAACTGAGATGTAGGCCATAGAGAGGGGAAAGGAGAGTGGGGCTCCGAGAGGGAGGAATTAGTGGCTGCAGGCTGACTCAGGAGTTGCACTTAAAGCAGCCACACGAGAAATGTCTTTCTTCTCGGAGCCAGGAGCCCACAGGCCCCTTTCCACAACAAACTTCATGTGCAAACATAGACGTACACAAATATGTGCATGCAAAGTGAAGGGTCGTGGTGCTTACACCCGACGACTAACTGCTGACTATATACTCCTCAAAGTTTGCTTTTAACCGCTGGCATATGTGGAAATACTGAGCCAATATATCAATCAATTTAGTCATCTCATATAATACAGTCTGAAGCAACAACAGTCCAGATTTACTTTAGGATCAGTGTGTGCGCTTTGAAAGGACTCGCCGCATCCCTTTCAACAGCAGACGAAATGAAAAGTACAACAGCTTGGTCATACATCTTAGTTCATTAACAAAATATACACCTCACCTAAACACAGCAACCGTTGCCATGACACGGTGCAGCAGGAACCAATGGTAACACTCGGGAAGCCCGACTATCCCAACTTTAGCATGACTGGTATTCTTTGTTTTCCGGGTTTTGCAACGCACGGCCCAAGTGAGCCAAGACTGGAAAAAATGCTGGCATGTCATTCTGAAGGCATTGTGGGGGTGGGGTGGGGAATAAGGCATTGATCTGCGCACAAACTGGAAGGTTTACCACATGTCAGGTGCAACACGAGGGCAGGTGATCTCAGCGGTCGGTGTTCGGATGCAGTGGAACTGGAAAAACATGAGCGACGCCACCTGCTCCACACGGCCAGACTGGTTTGGCCCAGAAGTACTGGAGAGCGGCTTATCGAACCCATCTCACTCCATTACCGGCAATGGAGTCAAGAGACATTTAGTGTGAAATTGAGCAACAACGGGCGAGCGTGTTCACTCACCGGAACAGGCCTGGGCTTGGGTGTGTTCATGTGAAGTATGTGAACTCGTGTCTGTGCATTAGTCAAAGAGCTATTACGTCTAATACATAACCATAGCTGGTGTATGTGACTCAGTGCTGGGTGGAACAAGATTCTGTGTAAATAAAAAATAAGTCATAACCTTAAATAAACCTCTTGTTCTGCAGTAAGCGTTGCCACATGGCATGGTTTGAATGTGTGCAAAAATAAATTAAGAGTGCATGCTTGTGTAAAAGGGGCTATTTGTGTGGGATTAAGTAAAGACTGTTCAATGGACAGTGATGGAGTGAACAGAACAACCCAATGCTTCTTTATTTGATGGAGATTCTAAAAATGTCACAATGTGTACCAACTCTAGCCCAGAAAGCTTTTCAGTGTGGGGGAGGTTAGGTTTTGTAACTCATTTAGGTAGAAAAGGAGGAAATAACTAATTTTATTTAGCAATTTTGACATTTACTGCATGATAATGATAACATTTAAACTAATGTTAACGTTTTAGTTAATTTGGACTTAAAAGGAAAAGTTGACTTGCTAAAAGGGCTAAGATAATGTTACCCGATACATTTGTGTAATTCAACATGATAGCATTTAAGCTAACATTAACTTTGTAGCTAATTTGGACTCAAAAGCAATAATTGACCTACTAAATTGGTTAAGGTAATGCTACTCAACGTATGTCAACATGATGATAGGATTTAAATCTCAAAAAATAGCTTATTGAATGGATTAAATTAATATTAAGTTAATGTTGCTATCATGATAATGATTGACAAAAACATAACATTGATCAATATTTTAGTCAGCACATTATTTTCTTAATTTTTTTTCTTAAACCATTTGACCAATGTTACAAGTGTATGACATCAGTTTGAGTGTGTGTTCATGCTCACTACATCAGTCTTGTTCAGCTACAGGCATTGTGGGAAAAAGTATATGATTCACTGACAAAGGAGCCAGGTTGCAAATGTTATTTCAAGTTTTTTA